AGGAGAGAGATGCTTCCGACGTCTTATGGCGCGCACTGTCTATCTTCGCTTCTTTTAGTGAATTTTCTTTCTACAGACAAGGGGAAGGTGGATAATTCCGGTTTCCCAAAATATACCTAATGTGAAGGGCGGCTCGCGGAAGCGCTTCAACTGAAATTATTTTTTTTGTGCAGTTATTGTTCCAGTTCTGTGTAATACATTGTCTGTTTTCTATTTAATGGAACTTCCTCTGAGACCTCACTGAGCTCTTCATTTTGAACAGTTTTATTTTTGTGTAGTTTTGTATTGGACATCTGTTATTTAGTCTTGGGTTGTGTTTTGGTTTTATTCTTTAGAGTTGTGGTGCGTTTTGTTTGCTAATTGCTGGATTTTGGAATTGTTTCTGCATTTAAACATTGCACTTTTTCTGAATCTTTCATTGCGGTGTGCTCAGTATTTTAGTTTCGCGAACCGCGAGTACGGTTCCATTCGTTCGACAAAATGATGATATTGAGTTCGATACAATCAGTACGTAAGAGCGTCAAATGGTATAAGAATTCTTTTTCACATTTTGGACTCGTGGTATTAAATTCTCATGCATTCACAAATTGGAGACAGGACAAAATATTCGATATTGGCGAAATTTGCAGTCTATCCTAATTGAAACTGATTGCAAAAATGTTCCACAGGATACGGCAGAAATAGGGCTGGCAGACCGAAGGCGCTTTAGAAACTACGAAGGCATTTTCCAAATTGAACCCCGGTGATCAGTCTAAAGAAGAAGGTCATCAAGGCGAAGATGTGTTGTTTGTGCTAAACAAAACAAGCGCCGAGAAACTAGTACAATGCAAAGCATGCAGCTGTTCCTCTATGTGCTGCTCCGTGCTTTGAAATATTTCACACACAAAAGGAATATAAAGTCAATAGAATTGCAGAAAATTATTATAAAGAATGAAAAAATCTTGTCCTAAGATAAGAAGAAAAGATTTAAACAAAAATAGTTTAAAAAAAAAATATTTTTTTAACTTGCCGGGGTCGGGTCAAGCCAAAGATAGATAACAAAGAAAAAATTAAACAAATTAAAAAAATTTAGAACTAAACAAAAACAATTTTTTAACTTCGCCTGTGTCCCAAAGCCCTAATCAAAAAGAAGAATGGGAAATGTATTTTCCTTTCACTGTGGCTGCGAGGCGCAGACCGGTCTGGAGCGCACGAAACTCTATTCAGTACAGGGCAAAGGTGGGACATCGCACTGACTCAGCGCAGGCTAGGAGCGCCACCAGGAAAACGGCGCCGTATCTTCGCCGCGCGTATCGAGGAGAATCGTGCAGTGAAAGTTTAAAGGCACCGGACAGTCTCAGATTTGCTCTTAGGAAGTTGGTTGGCACCTGGAGTAGATTTTATATTCATTGACTCATAACATCTTTAGTCGAAGTCGAGGAATAACAATAATAAAATATAGTAAACAACAGCAAGAAGTAAATAAACGATCATTTTTTTCCAATGAAATGCTTTTGATTTTACGGTAAGTGAATAGTGTTCATTGGTAGTAAGTAGAAGCCTTCTACGACCCATTCCAGTTTTCCAAATGTTAAGTTCAAACTCCAGCAATTATTAAAAAACCTACTTTTAATCTCTTTTTATTGGCAAAAGTTTAAAATTTAGAAATTCAATCGTCGATTTTTGGCTTCAATGCTTTCAGCTAGAACCCACTTTATCATACTCTCACGTTGTGCTTCTATTTTGAACAATAAAAAACTGAAACAAACATTACCGAGAAGGATCAATTTCCATTTCCCTAATGTAAAAATAGCAGAGGTTACTTTTTGGGACACACACTTGAATTGGGAAAACCACAACAGGAACAGATTCTGAAAAAGTGAAGCCCTACCCAAAAAACACACAGAAATTGTAGGAAATTCTTATAATAAATTCTGGAAATAAATTTATCAGATATGTCATATCACATTGTTTGTTCCTTTTGGGCATATGAAAATATGTCAGGGATCAGTAAGTAAAACTTTTCTGCTGCCACATCCTGCAGGCCAGCACACAGTGATTGGTTGTCAGGTTAATGAGAGGTGGAGGATGATGGATGATAGGGGGTGAAAGGATGAACACAATACTACCATGCCCAAGGCGGGATTCGAACCCGCGATCTTTCGGTACGAGATCGCTACGGCACTACTGCCTTAGCGATCTCGGCCACCGGATCGGCTGGGTAGATAATACAAATGGGTAAACAATAAATTTATATTGAACTCAATTGAATTTTTATTGTTTTATAAAATCTATTTTTAAAGAAGCTAGCATCTCTTGTACTTGGTTAACAGAAAGTATAAATAATGTAAATTGTTTTTGTTTTTTGTTTTCTTTTTAGTTTACGGTAGTGGAATGACTCCTGGAGGCCCTAGCTTTTCACCATCTGGAGCCAGTGATTCTAGTGGTCTCTCGCCTGGATATTCACCATGGTCTCCTCAGATCAGCAGTCCATCATCTCCTGGGCCTTCTATGAGTCCATACATTCCCAGTCCTGTTAGTGGACTATCTCCCAATTATTCACCATCAAGTCCAGCATATGCTCCCACATCGCCTAGTTTAACACCTTCAAGTCCAAACTACAGTCCCACTAGCCCTTCATACAGCCCAACTTCTCCCAATTATTCACCAACAAGCCCTTCATATTCACCAACCAGTCCTTCATATTCTCCAACATCTCCATCATATAGTCCTACATCTCCATCATACAGTCCAACCAGCCCTTCATATTCACCTACAAGCCCTAGTTACAGCCCTACGAGCCCTAGTTACAGCCCAACATCTCCCTCTTATAGTCCAACTAGCCCTTCATACTCACCTACCAGCCCTAGCTACAGTCCAACCAGCCCCAGCTACAGCCCCACCTCACCTTCATACAGCCCTACAAGCCCATCTTACTCCCCCACTAGTCCTTCTTATTCCCCAACAAGTCCTTCATATAGTCCTACAAGTCCTAGTTATTCTCCAAGCTCTCCTAATTACACCCCAGCCTCACCCTCATATTCTCCAACTAGCCCATCGTACTCGCCTAGTTCACCACAATACTCACCTGCTAGCCCAAGTTATTCTCCTAGCAGTCCTAAGTATTCTCCAACTTCCCCATCATATTCCCCAACTTCGCCATCATTTGCTGGATCTTCTCCACAGTACACTCCAGCATCTCCCCAGTATTCCCCTACATCTCCTACATACAGTCCTACATCTCCCTCCTATTCTCCGAGCTCTCCCAAACATCCTTCAAGTGCTTCTACTCGCTACTCCCCAACATCACCTAACTATTCTCCAAGTAGTCCTTCGTATTCTCCTACAAGTCCACAATACTCTCCTTCCAGTTCTAAGTATTCCCCCACTAGTCCAACCTACACTCCTACTTCTCCAAATTACAGCCCTTCTTCACCCACATACTCTCCTGCAGCACCTGGATATTCACCAACTTCACCATCATATTCACCTACATCTCCAACATATGAACCTGATGACTGAAGGGTGAGTATATAGTTACAGTTGCAGTTGCATTTGAAATCACCTTTTTGAAGGGGCAATTAGTCACATAGGTTTTAATTTTAGATGCAAATACTTCTAAAAAGAGTAACCGTCAAATAATATTAAGGTTTACAAAACTTACTCATCTTAAAACAATTTTGATACGAGATTTAACAATGTTATATTTTGGGTGGAATTTGTCCAGTAAACGAGCAAAGTTTTCATTAATGAAGTTCCAGAAAGGTGGTTAAAACTCTTATAAGAATATGAGAAGTCTTCCATGATATTATATTGTTGTTGTTCAGTGTTGGAAGCCTGTGACCACGAAAAGCATTTGTTAAGTGTATATTATTTTGAGTCTCATATACAGAGTAATTTAGAAAGATTAATATAAAGTACAGAGAGTAAATAAATAAACAGTAATATAGAGAATAGGGAAAGTTGCTAAATAATGCTGTGGAAGTTAATTTAGAGATTTCAATGAAAATAGTGATTCCCCCCATCAAGAAAATTAGAAGACTGTACTATGAGAAAGTCTTCCATTGCATTCCACCACTAGTTTTCAATTTAATTCCCGATGTATTGTGTTATATTTTATTTTGATGACTTGTGCAAATTAAATATTTTAAGTGCATTTGTCTTCTACTTAAACTGCTACATCATGAGTATTTAACAAAACTGGTAATTGATGTTTTAAAATTTTATAGGTGAGCTGAGACTGCTAGAAGAGGTGGAAACATCTGCAAGGAACCACACATCAGACCATTGTCTGAAATTGTATAAACACATTTTCCCATTCTTAGATCTTCAAAGGTTATATTTTTTGGTGTACTGGTGTTATTTTGCATCACTAGCTCATGCTTCATGCTTTTGTTTTGAATCAATATCAAAAAAAAAAATAATTTTTATGTTGTATTAGAACCGGAGGTATATATAATATAGTTGTATTTATATGTAAAATACAAAAATTGTGGATGTTTTAAGGTTTCTTTTTAATAATGGAATAAAAAGAATTTCCTGCAATTTCTGTGTGTTTTTTGGGTAGGGCTTCACTTTTTCAGAATCTGTTCCTGTTGTGGTTTTCCCAAGATCTTTCTTTGTGCAGTATTGCCAGTTTCTGTGCTAACACAATGTCTGTTTGCCTATTACCGAAAACTTCCTTCTTATTTAACTGAGAATGCTGCATTTTAGCGACCAATTCGACGAAATACCGGACGTGACAGTCTGTTAAAAATCAGACTGGTATGCGGACAAAATCATGCGGCTTTTTGGCAATGCATTCCAACCGAGTCAAAACTACGCGATTGACGAAAGTTTGCTATTGTTTAAAGACGGACTGCTCCTTTTAATCAATACATCGCCACCCAAACGCAGTAGATTTGGAATTAAAACATTTGTTTTGTGCGCATTGTCAGACTGTTTGTTTTAGATTTCATTGTTTTATACTAGCTGCCCACAATGATATTGAATTACATAATTTGGGAAAGCGGAGACATTGTGGCGACTCTCTTGGAGCGCATACCTAGACGGGACAATTACACTTTATGTCGACAAAACTGGTATGCCTAGCCCAGATGTATTTCTGTGGCTTCACGAGCATGCCACAAGATGCGTGTGTACTGTACGAAGTGGAACAGGCGCAATATGGCCTTAAAACTGGAAAAAATTTAAAAAGAGGAAAAGCAGTCAATGTCATTGATACTATGCCAGTATGAAGTAAGTGCTAACAAGAAAGTATGGATTGACACTTTAACACCGCAGAAATAATTGGAAACTAAATAAAAATAAAACAGGATGACTGTGCGAAAAAGAAGAAAACCGCAGATGTGTTGTTTATTACCAACACAAGTATGGAGCAGTTGACCCGTTCCGATATGCATATTGAGCTCAATACAATCGAGTACGTAAAGGCGTCAAATGGTGATAAGAAATTCTTTTTTAAACATTGCGGACTTGCTGCGTATTAAATTCCATAGCACTTCACAAATTGGAGACAGGACAAAGTATTCAATGGCGAAAAGTTGTCAGCTGTCCCTAATTCGAGAACTGATTGAAAAAATTTCCACAGAACGCAGAAGAAGCTGGCAGAGGAAGCGCTCAGAAGACGGAAGAATGTCCTGTCGATTTACCGGAAGGCATTTTCCAAATCTGATACCCGGTGATCAGTCTAAAAGAGCGTCATTCAGGCGAAGATGTGTTGTTTGCTGGCTAAACAAAACAAGCGCGAGAATCTAAGTATCGAATGCATAACATTGCAATGTTCCTTATGTGCTGCTCCGTGCTTTGAAATATTTCACACAAAAATAAATATTGAAGTTCAATGAATTGCAGAAAATTATTATAAAAAAATTAAAAAAAATCTTTTTCTAAGATTAAAAGAAAAATTTTAAAACAGAAAAATAGTTCTAAAAACCAAAAAAATATATTTTTAACTTCGCCAGGTGGTCAGTCCGAAACTAAAAATAAGATAAAAAAAGAAAAAAAAAATTTAAACAAACAAATTTTAAAAAATAAATACAAACAAAAAAAAAAAAAAAAATTTTTAACTTTGACCAGTGCGGTTCAAAAGCCCGAATCAAAAAAGAAGGATGAGAAATGTATTTTCCTTTCACTGTCGGCTGCGAGCCCGCAGACCGTGCTGGAGCGCACGAAAACTTATCACCACAGGGGAAAGGTGGGACATTTGCACTGACTCAGCCAGGTAGGAGCGCCACCAGGAAAACGGGCCGTAATCCTCGCCTGCGCGTATCGACTGAGAATGTATGGAGCAGTGAAAAAGGTAAAGGCACCGACAGTCCTCAGATTTGCTCCTTAGAAGTTGGTTGCAACCTGGAGTAGATTTTATATCATCTGACTCATAACATCTTTAGTCGCAAAGTAGAGAATAACAATAATAAAATAATAGTAACAACAGCAAGAAGTTAAGTAAAACATCATTTTATTCAATGAAAATGCTTTTGATACGTAAGTGAATAGTGTTCATTGTAGTAATAGAATGCCTTCTACCACCCATTCCAGGTTTTCCAAATGTAATTCAAACTCAGCGAATTATTAAAAACCACTTTTTAATCTTCTTTTATTGCAAAAAGTTTTAAATTAGAAAATTCAATCGTAGATTGTTTGCTTCAATGGCACAACTTTCAGCTAGACCCCCACTTTATCATACTGCCTCACTGTGCTTCATTTGACAAAATAACAAAACTGAACAAAACCATTAACGAGAAGGATCCAAATTCCATTTCCAATGTAAAAAATAGACGGTTTACTTTTGGGACAACCACTTGGAA